GACGAGGGAGCCCGGCGGAGCTGGTGGACTGATGGGCCACGGAGGAGAGGAGGGAGCTAAGAGCTATGGTGGAGCCATTGTGTTGACGGGCCGAGGCGGAGTCCAGGCCTTAGAGGCTGAAGTCGGAAACAAGGGATCCTCCAGCCACGACGCAGATGGAAACTGACAGACCCACGGCGAAACCAAGCCACTGATAGTGGGCTGAGGGTGAGCAGAGGGGCTGACAGGAGGCAGCGGTGGCAGAGATGAGGAATGGGTGATGATGGGAAAGGGAGGCTGGGTGGGAAATCATGACTGGTAGTGGGTTCTGGGATGGAACCCACGACAGAGAGTGTGACACCCAAATTGTGACACCCATGACAGAGAGTGCCACGGACAGGGAAACGACCTCCATGGTCGTGATAGGACAGGCAGATAGTTCCAGGCAGACAAACTGTTCAAAACAGACCTCCATGGTCGTTTCAAGATATACAGGGAGTTCATAAACGACCTCCTTGGCCATAACAGGACAGGCAGAGATTTCAGAAGATGATGGAAGACTGGGGATAATTGAATAAAAGTCTATTAAATCCTCAGAGTCCTGCCTCAGCTCACCCTCAGCGGTGGTACAGTGGCCGGGGGTTTCCTCCGCACCGTGGCTCTCCACTGTTTCATCCACAGTCACGTGCGTTGTTGCCGGCTCTCGCACCTGGTTAGACGATCGGTGAGGCTCTGGCTCCGGGGCGATCCTCAGCTCTGTCGCTCTTTCTTGCGATGGCTCGTTGGTCGTGGCGGGCTTTGGCTCTCCGTCTGCGGTGAGCTCTGGCTGACACTCCGCGCAGTGGGGTAATGGTTGGCTGGGCTCTGGGTCCGGAGTGGGACTGGTGGCGTCCTCCTCAGCGGGGCCAACAGTGAAACTGGATCCGTTGCTCACCAGCACCCACTCCACAAACGCGGTGAAGCTCCCTCGAGGACCTTCCCCAGACAGCTTTGCCTTGGCGGTGTTGTTCAGTCCCGCGATGAAGAAAGAGCAGAGGCAGCTGTCCAGGGAAGTGGGTTAAGTAGGAAATATCCACAAAGTCTCTAGTGTGGTCCTCAAGGGAGCGATCTCCCTGCTCCAGCAGGAGGAGGAGGACAGAGGGGGAATCCATAATGACAAAACAAAACGGGGTAAAAACTAAATAAACGCAGCATATTTACACTTTTGATGGCCGGTTATTCTATCACGCTGCTGCTAGGAAGACAATGAAGACGATGATAATAATAATAGTATAATACCCTTTAATGGAAATCCAGAAGATGAAGAAGACAATAGCACACAGGATAACATAAGCTCAACAAACATACATTAATAACCGGCAAGGAAAAACTGTAAGGGAGCAACTTAAATACACAGATCAAATGAGGATCATTAACTAACACAGGTGAACAGAATGAACTAATCAGACACGAGGGAAAACTAGGTCAAGTGAAACATGAGGAAAAAAACTAACTAAAAGTCCATGATTGTGACAGATACTGTATACTAACTGTACTAACTGTACAGTAAAAATTCAAATTAATTAATTCAGCATCCTGTGCCAAATTGCATTACAGTATTGTACAGTATTTGCCATACTAGTTTGCCATATTTTCTAACAAAAGACTTTCTCTACCTCCCATGGGCAGTCATCTCTCAGTTCTGCAAAAACAGAGTACATGTAAGAAGTACTTGACTACAAATCAATTTGAAACTTATGATTTTGAGTGTTTACAACATGTGCTATAGTATTTACAATGTACATATGGTGAAAGCTCTCTCATCTAAAGTATTGTATATATATATA